GGGCAGCGCAGGCTGGGCCTCCGGAGCTGCGGCTCCGGGGGTTGCCCACGGTGGAGCAGTTCCACCTTTGCATGGCTGTTCTGTGTGTGGGAAAGGATTTCAAGAAACAATTGACCAAATGAAACCTCTGTAATGCTTCTAAATACTCAAACACATTAGACATGCCTGCCCAGCTCAGAGATAAATTAGAGCTATTATCACTAGAGCCCAGACAAACAAACGGAGGGCTCTCTCCAAACAAGCCATTCACTCAAGAGACTGGATTTACAAGGGTCAGGGAAGCAGCACGAGCTGCAGGCACCTGTTTTCTACTGAAACCTCTCTAAATTGGCCATATCGACTGGTGCAGAAGGAAGGCGGAGAGCACAGCTCTGCCCTTTGGGATTTGAGGAGTCACTTCCATGCAGGGACTGCGGCACCGTGACGTACTAGCTGGCGTTTCGCTCTCCATGTCTGCAACCAAAAGCTGGGAGTCAGACTCCGATCCATTTTCCTTTTCTCCTACGTGATGGTTGGGAGATCGAGATGCTGGAGCACATCAGGGATGCCAAGGGCGCTTTGCTTTGCCCTTGGATTTTTGTTTCTGCTTCCTAGGAGGGATGGGGAGCCGAGCTGGTGATAAGGTGGTGTTGAGAGAGAGGTCAGTTCACATCAGCGTCTTGGGCATCAGGGAAACTGCCTGAAAGGGTAAACAGAAGCCATTTCTCCTTTCCCCTTCCCCACTCAAACACGTTGGTAAAATACCTCCCACAGGCCTGCCTCGCTGGACAAAATGGTGCCGAACACGCAGGGGTACGCTGAGGGAGTCAGGCAGCACCCTGCAAACTGACCAGCGGCCAACCGTTTGTGTGGGGAATCAGGGGACCCAAAACTGTCACCCTCGTGTAGAATCGCTCCTTCACTAAGTACTTCGACTGCCCTTTGGGAGCAACGAGTAATCCAGAGCAGCCGGAGAAAGTTTGCTCTTGCCGAGAATTGCTGTGTTGGAAACGTGGGCCAGGAATACCAGCAGCAAGCCTTGCATCAGGAAAAAACAAGTCACCCATGTGGGAGAGACAAAAACCTTGCTTTAATTTAGGACTCTGTGTGACATCTGTCTTTGCACGTGTGCGCACACAAGGCTGCCATTACCTGCAGCTCCCGTCAGTCCCCTCTGTAGTAATCGGTACAACATATTGTTTTTCGTTTCCTATGGACATTGTCCTAATATATACTACTATTATTTTCATGTGCAGCACCCTAATATTGCAAGCTTTATTCTTTAGAAGCCATTACAAAGCCAAATGTTCCATTAATTTAGTTAAGGATTGCTCCTGTAGGCCGATTGCCTGGACCTGGACCTGTGGTCTGCCTTACCAGAACACAGCGGGCTCTTGTGACCTGTCCTCCCCACCAGCCTGGAAACCCGCAGTGCTGAAAGAGCAGTTTAAGTTGCCTGACAAAGTGATTGTGCATGAAATGTGCAAATGGCATGGAGCATCACTAATTTCCGTCCTGTATTCCAGCAATGCAACTACTCTACACATAAATTCTGCCCCACTCCTGTGCCAGAAGCACACCTTCGCTGGCCTGATGCTGGCATCCTGAAAATACCATACAAGTGCTGAAATAAAGTGCCGGATGCTTGAGAGACAGGCAAAAATATTTCCATCCTTGATTTTTTTTTTTTCCTCAAACCGTAATCTTCCCTGCTCCTGCCACGTGACTCTACCTACAATATCCAGCTGTGTTTGGAAGCTGCACATCCCAAACTGCTGTGCAGAAGACTGTCCAGTGGCTTTCTGGCAGGGAGAAAGAATAGCAAAAGTTTCAGAAGAAGTCTTCCCTCTATCTGCACAGCCAGCAGAATAGTTTTGAAGGTGGCTGGAAGTGTGCCAAACCTGACTTGTATTTTTCCATCCAGGCTCTAACTCTGCTGCAAAGCCTCCACAGCTGCTGAGGAAGGGCTTGGGGAGACTGGCTGATGTCCTGAGCTGTAGCCCATGCTTGAGCTGCCCAGCTGCTAACAAGTGGTTCCAGTAAGCATGTGCTAGCTGGGAGAACAGGGCAAACCTGGAACTGTGCTGGTGGTAAACACCTGGATATCCAGTCTATCTTATCAAAATCTGGGTTATATGCAGTTTGGTTTAGCTTCACTACATGGTCAGATTTCAAGATACACATGCTTTCATTTGAAACTTGTGGGGGTTCATTTGCTCAACAGTAATTGAAAGTAAGAAGACTGTTTCTGTGTTAACCACTAGATGGTCCTGTTTCTCAAAGAAAAAAAATAATTCCAAAATAAAGGCAGTCCTGCCTTTGCTTGGAACCTGAATGTTAGTAGAGAACTGCGTCAGTGTAAAGCTACATGTAAGCAACAGTCTCATCTAGTTGCTTGAATTGACAAGGTTTTCCGAATAGATTTGAATACAACTTTTCATCAATCTTCCAAACTCAATTAGTGCAACTGGGCCTCTTACCAGTCAATGATAAAATATTTCCTAGTTAATGTCAGTTCAAAATTTCCAGCTCCAGACAGCACAGATGTCAGTGTTATCACTCGCTGTTGTTCAAGGATAGGCAAAACCTGAACAGTGGTGTTTTATTTCATTTCATTTCACACACAAATTTCATTTTATTTCATGCTCTGCCCCAGTGCGGAAGGCTGGGCAGATTCACAGCTCGGGCAGAGGTTCAACACTATGGCATTTACAAACTATTCCCATGCTGGTATGTGAAACAATGAGAGTGGTGGGATGGAAAAAAAAAAGTATTTATGTTTCTCCATCCAACTGCATCAAATGCCTTTGCTTTGGTGTTTTTTACCTTCTGTTTGTGGAAGGCCTCTGCCAGTAAAAGAAGTTTCGGGTTAGTTCTTTGAGCAGACTAGGTAGTAGAATTTGCCATCAAACCTGTTCAGTGTTGGTCTCTGGTGCTGTCTTCCCAAAGAATATTCCTCTGTGTCAGGCTCCCCAGATCTTGTCCTCTAGGGTCACTCCAGCCTCCGGGAGATACCTTCCCATTGCCACCATTCATCCTTCTCACCACTTTCTGCCCAGAATCCTGACCTCTCCATAAGCCCTGCTATGAATGGGATAACAAAATAAAATAAAATCACAACTGCCTGAAAAGACCTTGAGAAGCTTTCTGCGAAGCTTTTGAGTGCTGTACATAGCACTCTGGTAATTCAGTTGTGGTCTGGTGGGAAGAAATTATAATCCACAGTCAATGACGATGGAGTAAAATAGTGGTTTAGTAAGAGAAATGCTTGATGAGGCTCATTTAAACAGACTGTCACACAGTTTATTAGTCTTCATTGCTTAGAACATTTTATAGTAGCCTTTCATGAAGGCAGAATGACTGAAAGCAAAAATGAAAAACTATGTGCTTGAAACTGGCAAGTGATGTGTCTAGAACAGACACACGGCTGTGATCCTTCTTGTAGTGAGGAGAGAACTGTGAAGTCCTTGGCACGCAATTTTGTGGATGCTGAGAATTTACATGGGTTCAAGAAGCAACTGTGAAATAAAAGGAGTCCATTAGGGGCTACCTACCACAAAGCAACAGTTGGCTTGGGAAGCCTCTGGAACACAAGGCTCAAGGGCTTGGGAGAATGGTCTGGTGGGGAATGTCAAAATATGCTGCCCTGTTTTTAGACTCTTCTCTAGACGTTCTCTGCTGGCCACCGTCAACACCAAGATACCGCAGTAGATGGATCTTGGGCCAGAATGAAGGCAGCTGATCATATTAGAGCATTTTAAATGCTGACTCTCCTGATAATGATTTTTATTTGTATGGCATATTGTTTTGCAGGCACCATTTACCAATGGGCAAATCATGTTAACGTGAAGACCTTGCACAGTTTTATTTCGCATGGTAACTTCCATTGAGGTGTCAATCGGTGAAAATGATCTGTGCTATTGAAATGCTCCCATTGCAGTGCCGGCAAGACTAGAAAGAGGAAATGGGATGACAAAGGCTTTTACTTCTGTTTTGAGATGACAGGATCACTTAGCTAAACAGCAAAACAATATATCGAGTCCTACGTATCCTGCAGAGAAGAAGCCCTCACTCCAGCAATTTCCCACTAGAGATGAAGAAAGGATGCCCACATTTTCTGGTCAAAATCAATGTGAAGCACAGTAAGGGAAAAGATCTACAATGCAAAATCATGAAGGATTTTACTTACTAAGAAGATACCCTCTCCACGCATGCACACAAAATTAGCACAGCAGGAGCGCAGCCACTGCCTGGTTCTTGGATGCAGATTGATTTTTAGGTAGGGAGCGTCTGCAAGGTTCAAAGGGAGCACACTAAAAGGAGGTTGCTGAAGAAAGCATGTATATACATTATCGATTGTGTTAGCTGTAGAAAGATCTTTAGTGCTATCACGGACTTGAAGTGCTTTTCATATTTTGCAGTTGTAATCCTGAGTAGTCTGAGTCTTCCTTCTATGAGGAAGACGCTTCTTTTAGCTGTTAGTAGGTGGAAACTGGAGAATGGAAGAGTATTTCTCTTGCTTCTTTACCATTTGTGTTCATGCACATGCCCATAAAGCAATCTATTACACGTAAATGAGAGATTTATTTTAATCCCCACAATTAGTGACCGTATGCCTCAGTGGTGGTGGTGGTGTCACTGACTTGATGCCTGGATACTGAGTAAGGGCAGGGCCAGGCAAAATTTCAATCGTGATTCCTTGTAGAAGTACCCCACAAATTGTCCTTTGGAAAAAAAAAAAAATAATCTCATTTCTTTTGGGAGGTGGCTGCAGTGAAATAGTGTCATTTGTACTTTGAGGTTTTCCCAGCTGGAAGCGCCTTTATAGAAAAAGTAAACAAGAGATTTGGTTTTGAACTTCCACTTCATCCTAACAGGATTGCACCATTTCCTATCCAGGCTCAAGCTTACGGACCAGGTCATGCATCAGAGCCTCCTAAGCACAGCTTTAAAAATTGTTTCTTCAGGTAGTCAGTCTCAACAGGAGCGGAGCACAACCTCATATCTGCAGAGATCTCTGCAAGAGAGCTTGCTGTCCCCAAGCAGCTCAGCAACGTCTGGTGTCTCAGCCTCTCTGCAGGAGTGAAACGCCTGCCAGTTCAGCTGCTGCTCCTCTGCAAACCTTCACGGCAAACACGGTCCCAGCTATTAGAGCAGCGAGATCTGTAACAGCGAGGCTGCGACGGCACGTTAGTCAAGAGAGAGAGTTAAAAATAGTTGCACAAAAGAGATGCCTGCTGTAGAAATACAATACTGCACGAGATGTTAGCCTCTTGCAGGTGACATTTACCCTGCCACAAGGCCGGTAAGCACGGAATCACAGCTGGTTTCACCAGCTGCCTGGGTGCTGTGTTGCGGTATGGCCTAAAACTTATGTGTGGGTCAGCTGACCCCAGCCGTGGGTTAGGGGCTGAATGGGACAGGAGCTGCCGTCAAGTAAGGTCCCAAGCAAAAAGCAGAGGTGGGACAACA